TGATTATTTGTAGACAGGATGAGAGAGAGCGAGAGTTTGGGTTTCTTTGAAAAACACACATTTCTGGTCTTCAGATGCCTTGTCTGAATGACTGTCAATGGCCGACATCCACTTTTCTGGCATGCCAGCAGCATGTCATGTGTCGGCGTCCCTGTTTCAAGGAAGCAGTTTTGGACAATACATGTCTCTACCGTGTAGATGACCCAACTGCCAGCATCCTCCACAACTGCATCTCTCATGTCCCATCTGTCATGCCGAGCCCCCTCTCATCACATCTGGTGTGGTGCTTGTTCACCCAACACAGGGTAGTGCATCTATAGTGCAGCCCGAGCTGGAGCCTGAGCTGGCACAGGAGATACTTGAAATACAGAACGCTGAGGAGCTTCCACCCTCATCGAGTGATGCACTGATACTGCAGCCCGTGCCGCGACTGCGCCCAGTCACAGCACATGCCTGAAATGTAAGACACAGAGGGGCAGAACTGACAGGAGCTGCCACCCTCACACTGTGCACAAGTGGACTACAGTTTGCAGCTCTTGGACAGTCTCTCCTTGCACCGACCCTCATCAGCACCAACTGCCCAGACAGGTGCAGGAGATACTTATGAAGAATGAAGGAGACCATTAGAATACACAGGAGGTGCAACCCTCATCAGGCAATGCATTAACACCGCAGCGCGAGCTGCAGACCGCATGGTCAAGGCAGATGCCTGAAATGCAGAATGCGGAGCGGAGTGCAGACGAGCTGCTACCCTCACACTGCATGCGGGTGAACCACATTCTAAAACTCTTGAGGAATCTCTCTTTCAATGCACCCTCGTCATCATTTGGAGATTCTGAAACTCTTGGACACTCTCTTTAAAGAATGCACCCTCATCATGACTTGCTGACCAGACATATTTCCCATCATCAATAGACGCATAAACCTTGAAAGCTTTTTGTTCACTGCCATTGTGTGATGAATCACCTGATGTAGAGCTGCAATGTGCGGTCAGCAATCACACCCACGCGTGCACCCGCCCACCCACTCACACACCACCCAGGCCCCTGCACACCCACGCACACATCCACCAACCCACGCCCACACGCACATGCTTGCACACGCCCCACCGGCCCACGCCCACCCGCCCACACCCACACACCAAGACACCCATGTGGGTACACACGCACACATCATGCACACACAGACTTACAGCCATTCTTGTCAGGGGTTCGGAGCGAGGGTTTGTGTGAGTTAAACCCACCACTTTCTCAGAGGAATTGCTAACTGTTGGGGACATGGTGAGCCCTTAATACTCATCCATCAGTCAAATGCATCCTCGGCGGACTGTCAGGGTTTGACACCCTGATGAGTCGGTGAAAGTCTGACAAAACAGTCTGAAACAGTCATGTTTTTTTTGGCGGAGTTGCATGTAGTGAACATGACAGCGCGCATGCACAGGCACACACGCTCACTTGCACACACACACACACACAAATGACGTGGAAGTGGGCCGTGAAGGCACACGGGGATGTGGGCAGCTGCCGCTCAACCACAATCAACGTGGGCAAGCTTGCGCGTAAGAGGCATAGTAAAAGGGGAGCTGCAAGAACAATGAAAGGGGTACCCCAAGGACAAGCAATAAACTGTGTAATTATAAATTTGCTTTAACATGTTGGACTTTCTCATCTCAAATGCTCTCGTTGTCTGCAATAGGACACAGACTTCTTCAATTCTCAATCTATTCATCTTGGTGGAATTGGGGGCTGTTGTGGGGAAAATCTATAACACACACACACACACACACACACACACACACACACACACACACACAGCAATTGCTGCCAGCTTAACTATGAGGTCAGGCAAAACGAACTCTCTAACAACACACCAGTCAACACACATGTTGTTGGCATCTTCGACAAGGAGATTGCGCCTGCAGCAGCGAAAAGATAAGTGCCAAAAACACTCCATATAATGCACAGCGCATTCACTGAACTTCCGTAAAGAGTGTCTCTCTGCACATCCAATGCAACCATTTGAACAGCCAAAGATAAGAAAGGAGTAACAATACTCGCCCCACACGGGTCACAACTGTTTCGTCGGACTTCCACCGACTCATCAGGAGGTTCAACCTCGACAGTCTGACCAATCCCCTTGAATACTTCAAGCAGATAGTCTGTGCAACATCACGATAGTGTGAAGCCTCTTAGGGCTGACGACTTCACAGAGCGCTCCCCCCACCCC